AAAACAGAAGACCTAATATGTCATATTTGTTATTACTTTTGAGGTAGATTAAAAAGACAAAAGTCCAGCGATTGTTTTTACTTTAAGATCATGTAAATATTGATAGAGCTGAAGGTAGAAAGAGATGTTCGGCCATGAAGAAAGGCGACCCAATGGCCGTCGAAGATACTGTTATCAACGATCTACTATACTAGTAAAATTATTATCTAGCGTGTTTCTTCGTTTTAATCCGAATATGTAAATATCAGCACTTGTGTGGGAATAGAATAGAAAAGCAAGTATTTTTAAGCAAAAAAGTGTCCGCAGCTGCTGAGGAAACCGATAGAAATTGGTTTTTTTCCATACAAATACTAAGCTGAGACAAAGGTTAAGAGAGAGTTGTTCCCTTCCACTGACAGTCGGGTCTACGTAACCGAAACGGACCCGGATTTTTATCGGTCCAAGGACTGTCAACTCGGCCGCTACAACAATAACAGAATGTTGTCCTAAGAAAGGATTAAAAAATATTGGATCGGTTCTAGCTGAGTTTAAGTATAGTCTTGGAATATAAAAAAGTTTTAAATATGTAAACTATGGGAAGCCACTTATCAACTTTTTGCTTGTTAGCCAGTTCCTACCCACAGTCTTGTACGTTACTTGTGAACTGCCTTTATAATATGTATTTCTTATAGCTTTACTTTAAGGACCCAGTGTAGCTGTATGTTCTGAATCAAAGAGTAAGACTAAGACTGATCTATACCACACTATAGCTTCACTTACTTCTTTTGCGCGACATTTTACTCACTTACGCCGCTAAGAAACAATTTCGACTGGTCGTCGCCTAGCGTCTTTAATGATCGTCTAACTCACCGTTACTAACACTGTTCTAAGATAAGTATTTTACTAAATCGCACAAAACACACACACACACTTATATACGCGTGTTTTCACTTGCGACAGATTCGACTGATAATGTCAACGTAGATAATTTGCAGATAATATAAGAGACAACAAGACAGCATTAAATATTATGCAAATACGATTGTGTTGAATTCAGCGGATAACTGAAACACTTGTTTGGGTAAAAAGTCAATACAAAAAAACACAACAATTCAAGAATTAAAACTTTTTTGCCTTCGCTGCTCGACACAATTAGGCAAATATAAATATTTTACAGTTTTTTGTTTTCCTCCAAGTTCACAAGAAGCAGTTTTCGCGCTTGAAACTTCCTGTTAATAAAATGGCCTGGTTGTATGCCTTTCTTATTACGTTATCGGTTGCCTCCGAGTCTGTTGCGGAACTGCTGGTGGCTGTCAACAAGTGTCAGTGTCAGTGTCACTGAAACGTTAAAGCAAGCGGTGCGAACTGATTGCGCTGAGCTCACGAGGTTCGACTCGCTTTCGACTGATAAATGAGTTTGGTGGGCCTTTAGCCAATCTACTTAAATGGGCCGAATTCAATTGGTTTTTAAACAGTCAGGCACGAATGCGAAATTCTAATTTAAATGACAATATTTTGCGTACCCACACATGCAGCGCAAAGCGGGGTGTGTGCCCGGGTGGATTTGCACTAATTTTTGAGTTAATTTTTATGCATTTTCAAATACGCTTAGTAACTTTTTTGCATTTTACGTGATATACTCCAGCGTTTGTTCATATTTTTATGGCTTTGTGTAATCAGTAATGTTAATTGTTGTTGCATATGTGTATGTATGTATTATATATATGCATATGTGTATGCTTTTATTTGAACAAATGGCTGGCTGGCACTTTTCCTAAACGCTTACCTTGTGTGGTTGACGGCTGAAAATTTGTTGATAAAAAAGAGTTATGCAATATATATGTAAGTAAACGCGGTAGTATGTACACATGCAGAGTGTACAGCGGCATGTTTTTGAACTTGAACGACTGCAATGCGAACTTACGTACACACATAAGTGAAGCGATGGTATATTGCTGCATTTGTGTTGCAATGTCATTAGGAAAGAAAATGCGGCGAAATGACACGAACGCTTTTATTGATCATAAATAATTATTTGTCAATAATATTGTGGAAATTATTAGCGACAACTAGATAATCTCAGCAACTTACGAGCCCTTTTTTGCAATATTTTAGTCGCTGCCTTTGAATTATGTGCCGTTAATTAGCTCTTCCAAAGCTCTTATCACATAATTTAGCCTTGGCGGAAATTATAAAAATTATTGTTAATGGCTTTTCAAATGAGGATACATTGAGTGTAATCACTGTTCGTGCACGACAATTTGCGTTTCAGGTATAAGCAAGTTAACTACCTCAACTTTCTAGCAGCATTTAAAATCGCCAATCGGTTACGTTAAATCTTGCCGGTATCTAATATGCTGCAATTATAAAGTATTTGGGAATAAAGTTCTCTCACCGCTTTGAGAACTTCTCTCTAGCCTATATTAAAGCTTTTCTAAATTGTCGTTCCCGATGAAGAAAATCCTCTGCTACGCTTATTATTTGCTCGATTTATATTATAATACGATATAACGGTATGCTCCACATGAGTATATTATATTAGTGATCGCATTAAGAATCAGCATTCAGTTGCTTACCAAAAATAGATAATTTGAGTTTCATCCTATTCCAGAATTTAATATGATCCAACCAAGAAATGAATAGAAACGTGAGGCTATTGAGAATTGAGCTCTTCTCACGACTGATTTTGCCGCACAAGAATATAAACAGACTTGTTGGGGAATTGTCAGTGAATGTATTTATTTATTGATTTTACTATAAACTTATGTATGTACAAACAATTTTAGTTATCTTTTTTTCTTTTCTCTCAACACCTTACTTTATTTGAATAAAAAATATTTATATAAAATATAAGAAACTCCATGATTCAAGTCTAAGCGAAATTAGGTAGCTGTGTCTATAATTTATTAGCATTATACATTTTGTTAAATTCTCCTGGTTTAAATGTGTCTGAAAAGAAACAAAAAAATATAATAAAGAAATTAGAACAGTTGAAGCTTTAATTTTTTTTTCGTGTTATAGTGCGTAAATACTTGATCTTTAAATAATCACTAAATCATTATTCTTATTGTCTTATCAGTTTATCTGGTTGGTTTTTCATTTCTCATATCTTTGAAAGTAGTGGTTCTTAGCCCAAAGACATAATAGCTGGCGTCGGATGGAGTAGTTTACAATGAAAAAGACATTGTACATAGACACATAAACAACTATTAATGAGTTACCTTGATCTTAAGCGGTTACTGAACAAAGGAATCTGCCTCCAGGTCCTGTATTGTCGGAGACATACGCTAAAGTTAGCTGACGAAATGAGGAGACACGCGTAAATGTGCCCTGGCCGCAAAACTGTTCCGAATCGCGAAGCTGCGGATCGCCTTCGGTGCTCACATAAAAATGTTCCGTTGTGCATTGACCGCCGCTCTAAAAATAGTAGTAAACAAATAAAAACCACTTGTAGATTTAGCAAGTAAGTGAGGGTTTTTTACACTAGGTAACTCGATGGTGCAATTGGCTTCGACCGTATAGTCCACTGGTGCAATAATTTGATAGCGGCAGGACGTCCCTCGACGATATGTATTGGGGTAATTCGGAGAATGCACATAGTAGGTGGTGCCGGGGTTTATGTTAAAGGTATTATCGCAGCCCTCAAACAATGCTAAGATGCCGTGGTTGCCACTTAGCAGAAAAAGTAGCAAGATACTGTTGATCAGAGCTGTAACAGTGGCAAATGTGAATAATGCTAACTTAAAATACCAGAAAATGGTTTGAAATTGGACAAATAATGTTTATGAGATATACAGTACATATAGTTGTTGGAATCATAATGTGTGTGTACAATTCCAAGCTGGTAAAATATTAACCAAACACATTTTATGCTTAACGGAAAACAGAAGACCTAATATGTCATATTTGTTATTACTTTTGAGGTAGATTAAAAAGACAAAAGTCCAGCGATTGTTTTTACTTTAAGATCATGTAAATATTGATAGAGCTGAAGGTAGAAAGAGATGTTCGGCCATGAAGAAAGGCGACCCAATGGCCGTCGAAGATACTGTTATCAACGATCTACTATACTAGTAAAATTATTATCTAGCGTGTTTCTTCGTTTTAATCCGAATATGTAAATATCAGCACTTGTGTGGGAATAGAATAGAAAAGCAAGTATTTTTAAGCAAAAAAGTGTCCGCAGCTGCTGAGGAAACCGATAGAAATTGGTTTTTTTCCATACAAATACTAAGCTGAGACAAAGGTTAAGAGAGAGTTGTTCCCTTCCACTGACAGTCGGGTCTACGTAACCGAAACGGACCCGGATTTTTATCGGTCCAAGGACTGTCAACTCGGCCGCTACAACAATAACAGAATGTTGTCCTAAGAAAGGATTAAAAAATATTGGATCGGTTCTAGCTGAGTTTAAGTATAGTCTTGGAATATAAAAAAGTTTTAAATATGTAAACTATGGGAAGCCACTTATCAACTTTGCTTGTTAGCCAGTTCCTACCCACAGTCTTGTACGTTACTTGTGAACTGCCTTTATAATAGCCTTTCTTATGGCTTTACTTTAGGACCCAGTGTGGCTGTATGTTCTGAATCAAAGAGTAAGACTAAGACTGATCTATACCACACTATGGCTTTCACTTGCTTCTTTTGCGCGACATTTTACTCGCCGCCGCTAAACAATTTCGACTGGTCGTCGCCCAAAATCTTTAATGATCGTCTAACTCACCGTTACTAACACTTGTTCTAAGATAAGTATTTTACTAAATCGCACAAAACACACACTAAACTTCCTGTTAATAATGAGGCGTGTTTGAAGTCGCAACTTATTGTTAACCTGGTTGTCTGCCTTTCTTATTACGTTTACGGTACGAACTGATTGCGCTGACTCACGAGGTTCGACTCGCTTTCGATATTGATAAATGAGTTTGGTGGGCCTTTGTAGCTCTACTTAAATGGGCCGAATTCAATTGGTTTAAACAATCAGGCACGAATGCAAATTCTAATTTAAATGACTATATTTTCCGTACCCACATGCAGCGCAAAGCGGGGTGTGTGCCCAGATGGATTGCACTAATTTTTGTGTTAATTTTACAGCCTCAAATACGCATAGAAATTTTACGACAAATGTTGCGAACTTACGTACACATAAGTGAAGCGATGGTGTGTGCTGCATTTGTTTTGCAATGTCATTAGGAAAATGCGCCGAAACCAACAAGAATGCTTTTATTGATTATTAGCGACAACTAGATAATCTCAGCACCTTATGAGACCTTTTGCAATATTTTAGTCATACCTTTGGTGTAACCGTTAAGTGGCTTTCCGTTATTCGTAATTGCATATTTCAAACAAGCTTTAAAAGCTCTTATCATAATTATTTATGGCGGAAATTATAAATATGTTAATGGCTTTCAAATGAGGATACATTGAGTGTAACACTGTTGTGCGACAATTTGCGTTTAGGATATAAGAATTAACTACCTCACTTTCTAGCAGCATTTAAAATCGCATGGTTACGTTAAATCTTCATTATAGTAGATAGTTCTCTCACGCTGAGAACTTCTCTCTATTAC